GAAATTTCTTTTGATATTTTGTAAAGCTCATGTGAAGATTAAATTTTCTTTTGGGATGTAATGTAATGGAACAAGCTTTTGAAATTAAGAGTATTCGTGGTTGTTATGTACTTATGAACTATATATTTGTATACACCTTATCGTTGCTTATGAGACCTTGTGTCAATACCTGGTAAGATCTGTCAAAAGGGTAGTGCGCTGCCTAAGAAAGCTGGACTTAGAAGGGAGCTAATTTGACTCCTCCGGCGATCTGGGATCTTACTTGGTTATTGACCATAGGACTCATTAGTGACTCTCCCTTGACTGCAACCAATAGTGTAGATTCGGGGCGTCACAATCTAGGTGGTATTAAATAAGGTTATAATTGCATCGGAGCTATGTACCTTATTTGAAAAGCTTGGGTTTTCTTTCAATTTTAAATTTGAATGGGAGAGAATTTGAGATGTTTTTGGGGCTCAGGGCAAGTTTGTTTTAATAATTCAAATTATTCATTTTATAGAAATTTTTGCGTATATCATTCATTAAAAAAATCAAATCAATCTGATACTTGTAATTTTTTTTTTTATCACATTTGTCTCTAAAAAAATGAATGACAAGTATTTTCAAAAATAGACCATTTAACTTTTTTAGAGATAAACACGACAAAATAAAAATATTACAATTATTGAATTGACCTAATTTTGTCATCGATGATAATGAATGACTATACAAAATAAACGATTCGAATCATCGAAATGAGATCCGTTCGAATTTAAACTTGAGAGAAGCCAATTCTATATGAAAAATATAAATGCCAAAAAACTAAAATATAAAAACAGTTTCTTTCAAATTTTGTTAAAATGACCTATTTTATTTTGAATTGACCATTTTATCCTTGATTTTTGTTAAAAATTTTAACAAATATTATCAATTGATTTAAATTGAGATAGCATGAAAAATTAGAAGGCAAAATTAACGCAACTGAACTTACATGAACCAAATTGAAAACAAGAAAATAATCATAATAATTATGGATATAATTTACTTGAAAATTTCATTAATAATTATGCATAAAACAACCTATGGCAACAAGTTAAAAAAGCTAGCTTTTTGATTTTTTAGCTTTTTTAACCAAAAGAAGCCAACTTTTTGTCAAAAAAGTCACCAAAAAAGTTAAAAAGTTAAAAAGTCAACTTTTTACCAATAAGATCCCTCAACTCCTACACCCATATATCACGGAGAAATTTGATTGAAATCAAACTTCATTTTTTTTTTTCTCTCTCTCACTCTCACTCTAAACTCTCTCGGCGTGCCCAGTTCATCAGAAACTTGGGCGCCTTCGACATCCCCGCCGGAGACGTCGTTGAAGACGGCAACGCAGGGCGTAGGGCGTGGGATTCAACGGCTGAGCCGCCTGCGACGGTAAGGTTGTGTGGATGTGGACGAGCAACACAAAGGTGATACTGTTAAAAAATTGGATTCTAAACCTAGTTTTAAAAGAAGTTCATCAATTGATCAAGGATGAATCTCAGACTGTGGGATTGAAACAAAGGTACGAGTTAATTGATTTTCCACCAGATGCAAGGCCCTTGTTAGTTTTCATTAACAAGAAGAGTAGGGCTCAGTGAGGAGGTTCACTCAGGTAATGTTTGAACATGCTCTTGAATCCTGTTTAGGTCAGATTTTTTTGACCAAAATTTATTGCTTCCCCTCCTCCCTCTCACTGAAGTAGTACAACATATATTCCCTCTGTAATCTTTTATTAATAATCTTTAGCTAATCACGGTGAAAACTGGATATGGGATGTGATTTCTTAAAGAGATGTATCCTCTTAGTTACGTTTTAAAATGTTTGATCTTTGATACTGCTTCCTGTAGGTTTTCGAGTGGAGTTCAATAATGCATCTAAACTGTTTGACAAAAGGCCTCACCCAGATACATTCGTATATCTTTATTTTTAACCATTATCATCATTTCTCTCTCTCTCTCTCTCTCTCGATTTTTGTGAATTTCTCTGGATTAAAGGGAATTTTCTCTGGATTTTTGTGAATTTTTCTGGATTGAAAGGAAATTTTCTCTGAATTTTTGTGAATTTCTCTGGATTTGAAGGGAATTTTCTCTAGATTTTTGTGAAATTCTCTGGGTTGGAAGAGAATTTTCTCTGGGTGGGAAGGGAAAATTAAAAAAAGGCTCTATGGATACTTTTTGAAAGTTGTTTTGGAAGATCTCTCTCTCTCTCTCTCTTTCTCTCAATTTACTTGATGGATTGGGTTCTTCTTCAACTCTTCTTCTGTGGTGGTAATATATCATAATTTGTGCTCTTTCTCAGATTCTCTTCCAGAGAAATTTGGTATTGGAGATGTGTAAAATTTCTCTGTGATGTGTCTAGAGAAATTTGAAGTTTTCTCTGTGATTTATCCAGAGAAATTCTCTGGATCGAATTTTATCTGAATTAATATTGAGAGACCTTAGACATTATAAAAATATTAAGTGTCCTTTATGCTATAAAATTTTAATACCAGAGACTTTAAAAAAAAAATCCCCATTATTTATTTTTATTGACGGAAGACAAGTTGCGACTTTGAATTTAAAAAAGACAATAATAATAATAAAAATAAGTAAAACAATTTTAAAATTATTTATATCATTCATTAAAAAAATCAAATCAATCTGATACTTGTAATTTTTTTTTTTATCACATTTGTCTCTAAAAAAATGAATGACAAGTATTTTCAAAAATAGACCATTTAACTTTTTTAGAGATAAACACGACAAAATAAAAATATTACAATTATTGAATTGACCTAATTTTGTCATCGATGATAATGAATGACTATACAAAATAAACGATTCGAATCATCAAAATGAGATCCGTTCGAATTTAAACTTGAGAGAAGCCAATTCTATATGAAAAATATAAATGCCAAAAAACTAAAATATAAAAACAGTTTCTTTCAAATTTTGTTAAAATGACCTATTTTATTTTGAATTGACCATTTTATCCTTGATTTTTGTTAAAAATTTTAACAAATATTATCAATTGATTTAAATTGAGATAGCATGAAAAATTAGAAGGCAAAATTAATGCAACTGAACTTACATGAACCAAATTGAAAACAAGAAAATAATCATAATAATTATGGATATAATTTACTTGAAAATTTCATTAATAATTATGCATAAAACAACCTATGGCAACAAGTTAAAAAAGTTAGCTTTTTGATTTTTTAGCTTTTTTAACCAAAAGAAGCCAACTTTTTGTCAAAAAAGTCACCAAAAAAGTTAAAAAGTCAACTTTTTACCAATTTTTCAAAACACTCCAATATAAACAGATGAAGTTTATTTATGGAAAAATTAGTCTGAGGTCCCTCTCCCATTTTTAGTAATGGAAGAGATCCACAATATTATTTTATGATATTTAAGATCCCTCAACTCCTACACCCATATATCACGGAGAAATTTGATTGAAATCAAACTTCATTTTTTTTTTTCTCTCTCTCACTCTCACTCTAAACTCTCTCGGCGTGCCCAGTTCATCAGAAACTTGGGCGCCTTCGACATCCCCGCCGGAGACGTCGTTGAAGACGGCAACGCAGGGCGTAGGGCGTGGGATTCAACGGCTGAGCCGCCTGCGACGGTAAGGTTGTGTGGATGTGGACGAGCAACACAAAGGTGATACTGTTAAAAAATTGGATTCTAAACCTAGTTTTAAAAGAAGTTCATCAATTGATCAAGGATGAATCTCAGGCTGTGGAATTGAAACAAATGTACGAGTTAATTGATTTTCCACCAGATGCAAGACCCTTGTTAGTTTTCATTAACAAGAAGAGTAGGGCTCAGTGAGGAGGTTCACTTAGGCAATGTTTGAACATGCTCTTGAATCCTGTTTAGGTCAGATTTTTTTGACCAAAATTTATTGCTTCTCCTCCTCCCTCTCACTGAAGTATTACAACATATATTCCCTCTGTAATCTTTTATTAATAATCTTTAGCTAATCACGGTGAAAACTGGATATGGGATGTGATTTCTTAAAGAGATGTATCCTCTTAGTTACGTTTTAAAATGTTTGATCTTTGATACTGCTTCCTGTAGGTTTTCGAGTGGAGTTCAATAATGCATCTAAACTATTTGACAAAAGGCCTCACCCAGATACATTCGTATATCTTTATTTTTAACCATTATCATCATTTCTCTCTCTCTCTCTCTCTCTCGATTTTTGTGAATTTCTCTGGATTTTTGTGAATTTTCTCTAGATTGAAAGGAAATTTTCTTTGGATTTTTGTTACTTTCTCTGGATTTGAAGGGAATTTTCTCTAGATTTTTGTGAAATTCTTTGGGTTGAAAGAGAATTTTCTCTGGGTTGGAAGGGAAAATTAAAAAAGGCTCTATGGATACTTTTTGAAAGTTATTTTGGAAGATCTCTCTCTCTCTCTTTCTCTCAATTTACTTGATGGATTGGGTTCTTCTTCAACTCTTCTTCTGTGGTGGTAATATATCATAATTTGTGCTCTTTCTCAGATTCTCTTCCAGAGAAATTTGGTATTGGAGATGTGTAAAATTTCTCTGTGATGTGTCTAGAGAAATTTGAAGTTTTCTCTGTGATTTATCCAGAGAAATTCTCTGGATCGAATTTTATCTGAATTAATATTGAGAGACCTTAGACATTATAAAAATATTAAGTGTCCTTTATGCTATAAAATTTTAATACCAGAGACCTTTAAAAAAAAATCCCCATTATTTATTTTTATTGACGGAAGACAAGTTGCGACTTTGAATTTAAAAAAGACAATAATAATAATAAAAATAAGTAAAACAATTTTAAAATTATTAGCTTGGCACACACAAAAAATGTGCACCATTATAAAATATAATTGTTTGCACTTTTTTTTTCGGAAAAAATAAAAAAATACTAAAAAACTAATTCTCAAAATAACCTTGAATTGCAATTCCTTTTATTTATTTATATATGATTTTATTGAAAAAATATGAAAAAAATAAAAAATAATAAAACTGGAAAAAAGCCGCAAAGGTGTCTCCTCTTTTCCATGAATTTTCTTGCATTTTCATTTTCAGGCGGAAACTGCCAAGAAACCTTCCCCAATCAAAACAAGCACAAAACAGCCTTACAATCAATTAAACTATGAATCAAAACCCCAAAAAACAGTTCACATTTTAATAATCAATTAAATAGACAAAGCCACCCACCCACTGCGCTCATTGCTCTGATTAAAATACAAGAAACAACAACAAATCAACAATGGTAGTACTAGTAGCTCATCACATCACTCTCTCGATACCCAATCACAAACCTCCTAAACCCAAATCACAACTACAACCCAATCGATCATCTCTACTCTCTCTCCAATCCAAATGGGTCCAAATGGGTTCTCTCTAGTCTCCTCCTTTTCCCCTCTCTTCCCCCTCAAACCCAGATGCCCAATTTCACTACCCACTTCCCAGATTCCATCCGGCGGCGCAAAGACGGTGATGTCGTGTGAGACGCCGACGGCGGCGGCGGCGACACAAACGAGTTTTGGGTTCAAGAATTTGATGGAAACTTTCACTGTTGATGTTCAGAGAGCTGAGGGGAGGCCACTGAATGTGCCTTTAATTGCTCCTTTTACGATTGCGTCATCGAGGGTTGAGAAGGTAGAGAATGTGGCGATTCGGATTGAGTTGAGTAATGGGTGTGTTGGGTGGGGTGAGGCTCCGATTCTGCCATCGGTGACAGCGGAGGATCAGCCGACGGCGTTGGCGAAGGCGGCGGAGGCTTGTGGGTTTTTGAGGCGGAGTCCGGCGATGACTTTGGGTTCTGTGTTGGGGGAGATTGGTGGGGTTCTTCCTGGTCATGAATTTGCTTCTGTGAGTTATATTATGATAAATTGATTTTTTAGATTCATTTGAGCTTTTGATTTTCTTGTTCATTATGTTTTTACTAACCATTTGGATAGTGAGGTGAGAAAAAAAAAATGATTATGGTTTTACCTTTTTGTATGGATGAATTTTGATTTCTCACCAAATCTGTTGCGAGAAACAAAAATTTAAGTTTGGTGTGATTTGGCTTTTTCACTATTTTTTTGTATTTTTCACTATTACTCACCTTATTAATCGTTCAAAGAAATAATGAAAAATCTCATTTTCTGTATTTCTATTTTTTTTTTTCTTTTCTCAGCAACCCCTCAATCCAAATGGAGTGTAAATATAGAAGAGTAGACACTAATTGAAGATGAGTTGAGAAATAATATGTTAAGATCGTTTGGCCTTATCTAAAATAGTTAATACCTTTAAATGTAGAATCTTTAATGTTTATTGGTTCACTTTGTGCTTTTGGGTGTTTCGTTTTTATAAGTTGGTGTTTCTTTGCTTTCACATGTCACATCAAACTTTCAAAACTTAATTCAAAATACATCTTCAAAACACAATTCAACACTCTATTTAAAAACCATAACCAAACAAATTTTCTACACTCAAATCATAATTCTACAACTCACAAACTCAAAATACAACTCATACTCTCAAATCACATTTACAAAACACAACCAAACGCAGGCCCCATTTTCTGTATTTCTATTTTTTTTTTCTTTTCTCAGCAACCCCTCAATCCAAATGGAGTGTAAATATAGAAGAGTAGACACTAATTGAAGATGAGTTGAGAAATAATATGTTAAGATCGTTTGGCCTTATCTAAAATAGTTAATACCTTTAAATGTAGAATCTTTAATGTTTATTGGTTCACTTTGTGCTTTTGGGTGTTTCGTTTTTATAAGTTGGTGTTTCTTTGAGTTGATGGGCATTGGATGATATAAGCTGATAAAATTATATTTTGTTAGAATTGCTAACATCTTTTTGAACATGGGTTCGAGGTCAAAGCTTTTGCTTAGTGTCGAATAAGGCCTTCTTTAGGAATTGGTTATTTTAGTTAGTTTTTTAATTTTTTATGAAAATATGTGCAGAAATGTTACAACTTATAATGAATTTTTGGCTATTTTAGCCAAATGCTCCCTGGAGGTTGGCAAGTATAATCGTTATACATTAGGGTTTCTTAGGGAAAGTTGATTGCCTAAGTCAAAGTAAAGCATAGACAGTAGCCTAACCCAATTATGATCTAAAGGACCATGCTTTGCCAAGTAGAATGCTAGCCAGGGGTTTATAAATGAGTAAGGGTCTAGAATTGGGTGATTTTAGATAAGACTGCATTTTTTTCCTATGAACATTACTTATGCAAAAGGGAAGTAAAAAAATGGAAAAAAGAAAAACAAAAAGGATAAAAAGGAAGAGAATATGTACAGATAGTGGGGTTGGATCCTTCATGGACCCATCCTGTTGAAACCTGCCCATTCTAAATGGTTATAGTGACAAATAATTGAATAGATTGACTTCAATACTTTCCAAGTATGTTAAGGATTTAACCAACTAGGGCTAGCTTGGTTGGCCAAAATCCTTGCGCCTCACTATGAGGTCAAAGGTTTGAGTCTTAAAACTCTCCCCTACCCAAGCAACGGCCTCCAATGTTTCCAAAAAAAAAAAAAAAAAGTGTGTCAAAGATTTCTGCTCTTTCTTGATGTTCTACGGATGCTCATTGCTGAGGTACGTCTATTTTGCAAAGAAAATAGGAGATTTCTAGCCCTTGTTTTTATGATAAAAGAATTCCATTTTCAGCTATGCCTTTGGTTAATTTCTGTTCTTTCTTGATGTTTTAAGGATACTTGTTGCTGAGGTACGTGTCATTTCTATGGTTAATTTGTGCAATATGTTTTGATTGGTTAATAAATTGTGAACATGGATAGGCATAAGAGTTGAAACAAAAAAGAAATACATAAGTATATACACTTATTATCTAAACAATTATGTAACCAATTACTAATTTATTTTATAAAATATGATACAACTTAATTTTAGATCTGAATTTTTTAATAAGTGGTATGGAGCCATTCCTCTTAAAATAATTTTTTGGAGAAATATCATGTCAGTGTATAAGAAAAAAACAATTTACAAATTCGTAAGAATCTTTTTTGGGTGCACTACACACTGATATTTATTGCTATTGTTGTGAAGAGCAATTATGTTACACAGGCATCGATACCTGTATATTTTTATATCTACAGTTATGCATATGATGGAATGTGAAACTGTGAATTCAATGTGAAGAAACATATTTGGAATTTTATCTGTTGCATGCATATATTTTTCCTACACACCAAAGATTCAGAGGCTTGCTTATTCTGATTAAGTTTTATCTGAAATTGAAGGTTAGGGCGGGAATTGAGATGGCATTGATTGATGCAGTTGCTAACAGCATTGGCATACCTTTGTGGAGACTATTTGGTGGAGTTTCAAATACTGTCACCACTGATATAACAGTTCAGTTCCTTCCTAAGTGGTCCAATTTAATTAGATAAATTCATTGTTCCAGTCCTTAGTGACCACATGAATTCTATCTCAATAAGCCACATCTGGTGCCAATGGGTTTGGAAATAACCATACCCATTGATGATAGGAAATGTAAAATCATAGAACCAATAACAAACGGGAATGTGAAACCTAATCCTTTAATATTGGCTATTTTCATTTGTAGATTCCAATTGTTTCCCCAGCTGAAGCTGCTGAATTGGCTTCAAAGTATCAGAAACAAGGATTCAAGACTTTGAAGCTTAAGGTGGGAAAGAATCTAAATGGAGACATAGAAGTGCTGAAAGCCATACGCATGGTCTACCCTGATTGCTTGTTTATCCTGGATGCTAATGAGGGTTACACCTCCAACGAAGCTATTCAAGTTCTTGAAAGATTGCATGGTAACTTATACATTAGGATATTTAAACAATCATTATGCATCCATTAATTAATAGAAACAAATGACATTCTACATAGAGGGGAGAACTTTTTGCTTGCTCATGACAAATCTTACAGTCCTTTTGGATCAAATGATTTGGTGAGAAATGATAAGAAGTGAAGAGAATGAGAACTCTTTTATCATGTTTGGTTTATCAGTTAGGTTAGAAATGGCAAGAAATTAGGAGAAAGAGACCTCTCTTAACTTCCATTTCTCACCAAAAGTGGTGAGATTTGGTGAGAAACAAATTGATTGGTTGTGCATTTTTCATAATACTGAGATTGCCCATAAAATACATAGGAAGAAAAAGAAATCTCACTCATATCCCTATGTCACATACTTTGCTTCTTACTTATCCAAATATGATAATGAGAAAAGACGATCATTTCTTCTATTTTCTCATCCCACAATCTAAACGCAGTGTTAAACTGCTCTCTCTCTCTCTCCCCATATGCTTGTCTTGATTTTTTACACATTTCAGGATTTTAAACAATTGTACTCTTCTGATGAGTGGAGATCATTAAACTATTAGTTTGTTGCAGAAATGGAGGTGAACCCAGTTCTCTTTGAACAACCAGTTCACAGAGATGATTGGGAGGGTCTTGGTCATGTTTACCGTATTGCAAAAGAGAAGTATGGGTTAGCCGTTGCTGCTGATGAAAGTTGCCGAAGTTTAGTTGATGCTAAGAAAATAGTCAAAGAAAATCTTGCAGATGTCATTAACATTAAGCTTGCCAAAGTTGGGGTTCTTGGGGCTCTCGAAATTATTGAGGTAGCAAGATCATCGGGATTGAATCTGATGATTGGTGGCATGGTTGAGACTAGATTGGCCATGGGTTTTGCTGGTCATCTTGCTGCTGGCCTTGGGGGTTTCAAGTAACCATCACAATCTTTTCTATAAATGAAAAATACTTTATCAAGATTCTCATCTATTGATTACGGACAATATATATATTTAGATCATTTTCTGCTCCATAGTTTCAATGTTTGAGAAAATAAAACTATCTTGTAATTCTGTGTACAGATTCGTTGACCTAGACACGCCCCTGTTGCTGTCAGAAGATCCAGTGCTTGAGAGTTATGAAGGTATCCTCAGCATCCCTCTGGGCTTTCATGTTTATAGTGCTATTTATTTATTTATTTATAAATATTTATAGCTTTCATGATTTGAATAATTTTCCATTTGACTAGTCTTAAAATCTTTTCTGTATCCAGTTTCTGGTTCCATATACAAGTTCACAAATGCTAGAGGTCATGGTGGTTTCCTTCACTGGGATAATATTATGTGGTAAGTTGTGATTTTGATGCTTATTTGTAAACTCTCAATCCACATGCTGCAAGACTGATAGACTCTTGAAGAAGTAGATGTGAGCCATGTGCCCAATTAAAAATAAGGGTTTCTGGTAAGGCAATGAAAAACCTCCACAATGTATGGAAGTTGCATATGTAATAGACGGAACCATACAAAGCACGAGTCTGTAGATAATGGAGGAGGCTAAAGAAAAACAGTAGAGCCACTATCTGAATTGGTGGCTTTATATTGCAAAGCATCTAATTGTTTTGGAAACTTTATCTAGTGGAAATTAAGGTTAACCGCTATATTAACTGGAGGCATGTAAACATCCAGTTTATAGAGGCATTTTTTGTTGGCACATTAACTGAGAGCCCCCACTTGGATGGGAAGCTTTCGGAGCCTCTAGTCAAAGCGGAGGCTTTGTGCATCAATTTTCTGCTTACACATACTCTTTTCTAGACTGCATAAAATGTATCAAAACCAACCCTAGATTGGGATATAGCTCGGCGTCAACACAGCTTGAGAAATCTTTTCCTTAATGATATGGTGGACAAATCCCCATACAATAAGCTAATTCCTACTGCTTTTTTCCAAGGTGGTGAATATGTATCAAACATGACCAGCTTACCCACGTCATAGACATGTTACTTTGAACTCCCATTGTCAAAATGTTTGCAAGTTAATCCACTAGGAATGCTAGTGATGCAATCATAAGAAGATATGAAAAAGTAAAATTAAAGAAGCGTAAAAATTTTGAAATGTTGATTTTTCCATAGAGGAAGTCAAAATTCAATGAGTTTTAAGAAATCCATGTAATGCTATGTGAAGTTTCTCAGTCAATGGAGAACATGCTTTGAGAATTTTGTCTAGTTTTTGAAGCTCCCTTGTAAATTATGTGATGCAATTCTAATCCTAATTACGAGGCCCATGGTTCCTAGACAAGCTCTTCTTTTTTCAAAATTTGATTTACCCATAACCACATTTGATTTACCCTTTCGCTTATCATTAAACCAAAACCCTTAACTCTAATTTGTGACTCTGATCTATTGTTCTTTCGACGCTTCAACCTAAAATCAAACCAAACCAGCTCCTAATTACTATTTTTGGTTACTGTTGACAACAACTATAACAGTTGTCAAAATCCTATATATACATGCCCAATATTTAACATTTGGTTATCGTACAAAAAACATAAATGCCTATATATGTATACTACTTTTTCAGCAGCATAACTTAATTAACTTTAGCACTAAACTGCAGCCCTCTGCTGCTGCCTCGCTTTAGTTTGGGCTCATTGCTTGTAAGTCTTCCACACTTGTCCTACAGTTAGCCAATTAAGAATCCAATTTTGCTAATTTTTGGCCCAATCAACATCTAGTAGTGGAGACAGGGTTTTTCTTGAGTTGGGTTACTTTATAACTTAATATTAACTTTCCACTTTTCAAAACCTAATTAACTTCCTCACCAATACGATGTTATAATTGTTCTCTTTTATAGTTAATAACATTTTTTTTTTTTGTAAATTATCTGTAGATAGATGGGTGTGTTGATGGATCATATCTTCGCCATATGTACAATTTAGATCAATTACTTGTATATACATATAAAAAATCTATACTATATATTAAGTAAAATGGGGTTTTTAACCCCAAGCCTTGTGGGAGTTTCAATCTCCCAATCTAAATTTTTTGATTTTTTGATTTAAAAAAAAAAAAATCTTAGCATTTATTAACTTCTCCCAACCCTTAAGTCTTATCCTCATAATAATACTTTAATGCATTAAGAACAAACATAAAAAAAATTCTTTGAAATCCAATACATGAATTCCTTGAAAAGTCTCAACACATATGATTATTATCCTTCATAATAACGCTTTAATGCATTAAGAACAAGTATAAAAAAAAATTCTTAAAAAGTCCAACATATATGATTATTATCAAAATATTAAACTTTAATATAATATAATAATAATAAAAGATATTTAATTCCTTAAAAAGTCTAACACATGATTATTATCAAAAGATTAAATTTTAATATAATATAAAAAAGAAAAAAAAGAAGGCATTTAAAAATCGTAATTCACATATATAGATAACTAGCTTATCACCTGTGCTATGCACGGGATAATTATAGATATTTATATTTGTTCTAGATTTTTTTTAATATATAAATTATGTTTTTAAAGATATTTTATAAAAATAATTTTACAATCTTTAAATGCTGATCATGGGATTTTGACCAAATCAATAAATACAAGCATGTAAAATGACATGTGGATTGAAATAAAGTTAATAAACGCTGATCAGAGGATTTTGACCAAATCAATAAATGTTCAGTTTTTTTTTTTTTTAAATAAAAAATTTAGAAAATTCAGATTGGGATATTGAAGCTTTCACAGGCCTTAGGGGTTAAAAATCTCATTTTGCTTAATATATAGGCTTCGTTTGGGAAGTTGCTATTTTAGTAGGCTATTTTAGTTTTTGGCTATTTTGGTATGCTAAAATTTTTGTGTTTGGGAAGATGATTGGATTTTTTTATGGTTGGATGTGATGTTTGTGAGAGAAAAAGTGAAATGATTATGGATTTGATGTGATATTTTGTCTTATTAGCTATTTTAGCCTATTTTGTCTTTTTGTGAATTTTAACCTAAATTAGACTATTTTTTTCTTTCCAAACACCATTATAGTATAGATTGTAAACGCACGGGGTGATATGCTAGTCATATATTATACTAAGGTCAAGTTTGGCATTTTTAAAAAAATTTAAAAAGTCAAAAAGTTACTATCCTATTTGAGTCACATCATCTCATTTAAGTCACATCACCTCTCTATCACATCACTTCAAACCCAACCCATATCCAACTCGTATTTCATAAAAAGTCAAAAAGTACACTTATTTAGGGTTCGTTTGGCAAGAAGAGTTTGGGGCTTTTTTTGGCTATTTTAGCCACAAAAGACAAAATAGGCTATTTTAGCCACAAAAAACAAAACATCACATCCAACCCATAATCATTACACTCTTCTCTCACAAAAAAAGTCAAAAAAGTCAAAAAGCCAAAAAGCCCTTCCCAAACCAAGCTTTTTAGCCCAGGCTAAAATAGCCAAAAAAATCAAAAAAGCCAAAAAGCCAACCCACTTCCCAAACGGAGGCTCAAATAATCCTTAAATAGAGTGAATCTTACTATTCACAATGTGATTTGTGATTTGACAGCAATGGATCTAGGAACATCATTTCTCTGGAAATCAATTCTGTAGAGATGCACAAAACCTTACACTGTGTTTGGTTGGAAGATTTGAGGTGGGATTTGGAAAAGAAAATGGAAAAGTTAGGTGATATGTGAATAAAATGTATCTACATTTTACCTAGTTTCACACACCTTTTCCCTTTTCCTTTTCAAATTCCTCTCCAAATCTCCCAACCAAACACAGCATTAAGGTCCCACCTACTAGTCGTTACTGCCTGTTTATCCCTTAGTTTCGTTTCTTGTTTGGTCGGTCCATTGTTACCTCGGCTTCGCTTCGGTGAGCCGTTTCCTTTCTCCTACTTTGTTCTTTATTCCCGACGCATCTTCCTCGGCTCTGGCATACTTCTCGATTCTCGCATGAGTTCTTCCATGCTTTTTGGCAATGTCTTTGCCAAAGACTTCCGTAGTGGGCAGTCATCTTTCAGGCCGTTCTTGAAAGACACGACTGCTACCTCTGGTTGCATTCAGGTATTCGACTTGAACACCTCGTAGTACCTTTTTGCGTAGGCCCTAAGGCCTTCATCCTTGGTGATTTTTAAAGCCATCAGTGCGTCGACCCTTAAGGGCTGTAGTTTATTTGTCACAAACCTGGCCACAAACATTTCGGCCAGGCCTTCCAAGTCTTTACGCTTCCCTTCGGTAGTTTACGGAACCAATTGATGCAATTTCCCCAAATGCTGAGGGGAATACTTTGCAGAGCAATGGCTCGTTTCCACTATATAATGCCATTGAATTCAGGTATAGTCCAACGTGAAAGTTGGGATCCAACTTACCATCATATATTCGGAACCTCGGTATATGAATCTCTTTGGTGTTTCAAATTTGTCCAGTTCCATCGAGAATGGTGTCTTCGGCTTAATTGGGGAAGTTACCTCGGCTTCAGCATTCTGTTGTTTCCTCTTGAGGTTAATCTCTCAAGTCTTCTTTACTCCTCCCTGGTGCTCGGCTGTCTTTGGACTTCAATCTTTTCGGCACTACTTTCGGCCTCATGGTGGGCTCGTTTTGATCTCTCTCCATGTGTTGTGTCAAAGCAGAGCGCCTGCCCTTGAACATGGCGATGTTCTTTGGGCTGTGGGGGCTTGTGTGGATACGTTCTTCGGGACTCCTCTCGTCTTGGCTCCTCTCGTCCGATTCCCTAGAAGGTCAGTGAGAGTGCCTTCCGCTCCTGGTGGTGAGGGATTTCAGGATTGTTCTTCTTTCTCCCTTCTGGGTATTCGTTGCTGGCATCGGCATATCCTGTAACGGGTACTGTGGGCTGCATGACATTGTTTTTGCATCATGAAGTTGACGACCGACGCAAGTATGCCAACTTGTTGCCAATTCTCTTACTTTCCTCATCTCTCTGTAGCACCTATCTCTCTATACCTGAAGGTTATCTTCATTATAGTACTTGCTTGGTCTGTCCTCTTCGAAGTGTCGCCCTCCTGGTGGCGTCTTTCTCTCCGTGTCTGGTCATGAGTTTTTTGTATTGTGGTGGTCTCCTTCAACGTCAGGTCAATTGGTCTGCTACTCCCAACAGGAGTGTCGCCCCCATTGTTTTCCTTCTGTCCGTTACTGGCCATCTATTCTTCTAAGTTCCCACAGACGGCGCCAAATTGTGTGAATAATTTTCTGATCACACTCCCGTTTAGTAATCAGCTGGAGAGCATCGGCAAATAGATGGCTTCAGCTAACCTGTAACAGAAAGAAAAGGCTCCGGCGGTGGCTCTTCCACCCGGGGGCACTCCGACGATCAAGTCAGTATATTTCT